ACTGTGTTTTCTGGTTTTACAGTTCCTTTAATTTTTTCGCATATGTAAAAGTCATTAGGCCGGCCCGTGGCTCACTCGGTAGAGTGCGGTGCTGATAACACCAAGGCCACGGGTTCGGATCCTATATGGGGATGGCCGGTTTGCTCACTGGCTGAGCCTGGTGCTGACAACACCAAGCCAAGGGTTGAGATCCCCTTACCGGTCATCTTTTAAAAAAATAAAAATAAAAATAAATAAAAGTCATTGATTTGTTCTACAAATGTTTATTGAACACCTATACTGTAGTGCTGGTGAGGCCACAGGGTGCCAGTGTGATGTTAAGTGAACAAAAATACTTGGTCCCTGCCCTTGGAAAGTTCTTACAGTTTAGAGACAACCAAATAGTCACATAAATAGACGATTATAAACTGTACTAAGTGTTATGGAAAAGTACAGGTAATTTAGATTATCATTGGGAAGGCCAATTTAGATTGGGGAAGAGGAATGGGTGACAGGTCACGTTCTCTAAGGAATACATTCAGGTAGAGATGGAAAGGAGGAAAATGGGAGGAAAAGTCAGCCTGGCCAATAACAGCACATTTGGGAAGGGCCTGTACAGTTCAAGGAAAAGAAAAGCCAGTGGGCAGAGAAGAAAAGTAGAGGCATCTAGATAAGGCTTAAAATCCAGGAAAGAAGGAAAAAAAGAATAGATAAGGTTTAGTGGGAGCTTGGGATAGGAAGAGATAGTGCAGGAGTGCTAAATGCCCTGAGGCCATTGAGACTGCTCCAATTTGCATTTTAAAAGGTCATCAAGTGGGAGATTGGAAGAAGGTTGGAGTAGATAGGGGGATTATGTACTGTAGATGGAAACAAGTGCACTGATAGCATATACACTTCTGAAACACAAGTAACAAGTTTTCGTGATGGTTTGGATATGAGGGCTGCGGAACCATGAAGTGTCTGGGATAACTAGTGAGTTTCCTGAGTGAGCAATGAGATGGGATGAAATGCATGAAAAGTTCCCGAGAAGCGGAGCTGAGAGGAAAGATCACAGTTCTGTTTATTATAGTTAACAAGGGGAGATGCCAAATTAACACCCCCAACTAGATGGAGATATCAAAAACGAAGTCATTAGCAAAAGGGCTTTGATGACACATTGATTCTGCTCCTTAAATATCCACCCACAGTAATATGTAATAAACACAAACCCAACAAAATCTAAAATAAATTTTAAAGACTCTATACAGTAGCAGTTCATAAATACCATAGCAGCTGAAGCCACTGTGTATCTGAAAATATTATAGTGTAACTAAATATTCATATTCTTAAAATAATCCTTTCATGAAATCCTGACGACTCACTTGTCTATTTTGTTTACTGCTGTATGAGCCACACCTAACACAGTGTATAGCACATAGTAGGTGTTAATCTATTGAAGAAATGTGTCCACTGCTATGCAGAATAAACTACCCAGCAAAAATAAACAATACAAATAATGAGAAACTGTGCAAGGGAAATCTCTGCACTATACTATGAAGCATACAAATGTAAATCGTGACATTTCTCAGGGAAAAAAGGGAAATCGGTTATTTAGCACATACTTAGTTCTCACACCCTAACAGTTTCAGGTGCTAGATTCTGTTTTCTAAGAATTCCCTTAATTTCAATATCAGAAATTCCATCTAGGCAACCAAAGATAAGTATCCTCACCATTCCCTAGAAGTCTCTGAGTGATATGATAAAGAATCAAGATGTAATAAAAGCTTGATGAAGCTATACTACCATTTCATCTAAGTTATTAAAACAAAACAAAACCTGTTAGAAGGAAATTCACCAAAATGAAAATGGTAATAACTGATTTTTCTTTTTCCTCTATCTTCTCCTGTTTTCCGGATTTTCTAACAAACATGGATTTTTATTATCTTTTCTTTCCTGTTCACAAAAGTAATACTGATTCATAGGAGAAAATTCAGAAAATGCTCATAAACAGGAAAGAACCAAATTATCCACAATTTCATTGCTCAAAAGTAACTAACCACTGTCAATACCCAAAAGTAACTAACCACTGTAAATATTTTCTGTGGACCTTTCTCTGTGTATTCATAGGGATGGGGAGAGGAGAGGGATACAAAAGTAGAAGTGTGAGTGTTTAGACTATGAAGGAGATTACAGAATGTTGCTATGGCAAGTGTGTAGGATTAAGGGAGGACTAACTTGAAGAAGTGACAACTGAGTTGAGCTTTCTGAAGGATGAAATGGAATTAACCAGACAAAGAAGCGCAGGATAAGGCAGCAGTCTAGCCAGAGGAAACAAGAGTGTGAGCAGGGTATGAAGCCCATCCAGGGAACCGGGGAGAAAGATGAGTTTGGCTGGAAGAAGATAGGCTGGGCAAAGCCATACGGGCGGAGCTGAGTTAGGTCTTATTCCTCTGGGAAAGACGCCTTGAAGGAGGAGCAAGGTGGATAGGCTCCTTGAAGGGATTATTCTGAAAGCTGTGTGGGGAAAGGATTAGGCCCAGCAAACGTGGATTTAGAAGATCAGCATCTTCTCCAAAATATCAGTAACTCCCAAAGGGCAGGGGGGTGGGGGAGCAAAAAGGACAATGAGCCAATATTTTAAATTTATATTTGAGGCTCCACAAAACATAGATTGGTAGGGATTAAAAGAATACAATGACCTTAACTATGCACACCTCCCAAGAACTTCACATCAGAAACGGGGGTTGGGGGAGGAGCTTTAAATATCAATATCTAACAAAAGTAAACAAATTTTTAAAGATTGAGAGATCTGCATTAGACATTGAGCTAAATGATAGTATGGAATGTACATGTTTTATTACTATATCCCCAATAAATATATAACAAATAAATGAATATCAAGGGAATAATCATGAGCAGTACGAAGAGAGACAGTGTTAACAGAAAAAGATGATGTTAATGACATCCAGCAAAGGAAAACACAGCACTAGCCACAGGACAAAGCCTGACAGGGAATTCTGTTCTCTAGAAGTAGACTTGGCAGTAGAGCAGGGAAAGGTTAACAGGCCCCTCAAAGTCCTTGAGACTACCTATCCCTCCTTGCTCATACATTCATGCAAGAGAACTTTAACCCAGCAATTCCACTCCCCACTACTAGTATATACCCAAGAATAAAGAAAACATATATCCACACAAAAACTAGTTCACGAAAATTCACAGCAGCATTATTCATAATAACCAAAAAGTGGAAACAACCCAAATGTCCGTCAACTGATGTAAGAATATACAAAATGTGATAAATCCATAGAATAGAATATTATTCAGCCATTAAAAAGGAATGAAGTACTGATATAGGCAGCAACATGGATGAATCTTCACAAAAGACTACATAGTGTAAAACTCCACTTATATGACAAGACCAGAACAGGCAAATCACTGAGACAGAAAATAAATTAGTAGTTGCCTAGGGCTGGAGGGCGAGGGATTTGGAGGGAAATGGGCAAGGACTGCTAATGGGAACAGGGTTTCTTTTGAGGGTATTTAAAATATTCTAAAACTGATTGTGGTGATGGGTGCACAATTCTATGCATATACTAAAAACCATTGAATTGAAAGAAAGAAAGAGAGGATGTTTTGAGTATATCAGGCAAATTACTGGAAATACAACTAAGGAAATAAAAACAAAAAAAACCCTGTCCTCAAGGCTCCAATGTTCTAGTAGGGGAGAAAAAACAGTCAAGAGGCAATTACAAAACAATGAGAAAATAAAAGGATTCATAGACTATACCCCAGGGACACCTAACCTAGCGTTGGGTGATTCAGTGAAGGTGTTCAGAAAATAATTCCATTTACTTGATTTTCATCCATATTGAAATTTAAATCCAAAGAACTCTTCTGAAAATCTTCATTCTTACAGAATGATTAACTTTTTTTTTAAAAAGCATCTGTTAGCTCAGTTGGTTGGAGCCCGGTGTTATAACACCAAGGTCAAGGGCTTGGATCCCAGTAGCGACCGGCCACCACAAAAAAATTAATTAATAAATATTTAAAAAGCATCTGCGCACGTGCAATGTTTAGAACTTTTACCTTTAACTTTAGAAAAGCAACCGTTTAAAGTCTGTTAATTAAAAAAATACAAAATAAAATAACAAAAAAAAAGTTTCCAATTTAAACTTCATTGTATTATCAAGTTTGTGGGGTGCTGTAGATTATGTGCAAATTTTTCGTAACACTAAAACTGGGAGGAAAGGGCCTAAAAAACCCGAACAATCGTGTAATACATTCCAAAACAAAGCATGGAAGGTTGCAAGTAAACTAGCGAGGTAGGAAAACTTGAATGATGATCGCAAAGGAGAACCGAGTGCTACACAATAAAAACGGACCTTTAAAAATTAAAGCCACTAATTTTCAACCACAAACACTTCGAAATCTGAATATTAGTAACCGTTACCATAGAAACAACGAAGACAAGTTTCCCGGGGTTAAAATTTTTTAAATACCGTAGACTCAAGTGGGTGGAATAAGGCAAAGTTTGGTGCAAACCTAAGTGGACCGATCCAACCGTACCCGGGTGAACCGACCAAGATTCTAACCTGTCCTTCCGAAGCGGTGCTTGATAAATCTCCTTGCGGGGGTAGTTTAATCAAGTGCGAAGAAAGTTTGCCCCGACTCCTCCAGAAGGAGGAACCTGAGAAAACTCCTCCCGAGTATCGCCCAGAACCAAAGCCGGCCGGCGCAGGCGTGCCCAGCGCAGTTGGGGGCAGACGGGCCGAGTCCACGCGCAAAGCGTCCGAATCGACCCCTTGCGGTTTCACCGGCTGAGCACGGAGTCGCTGCCGGCCTGGCTCCCTCCTCCACATCTAGCCCACCCCACACCACTTCCTGTGCCTGGCAGTCCACGCGCCCCGACCTAATTCGCACTGATTAAGCACCCACTGTCTACACCGCACGGTGGCTCCTCCGTGCACTGCAGGAAGAAATGGCCCCATGCCGGAGGAAAGAAAAACCAAACGAACAGCTGCGCTGGCTGAGGACGAACCCGAATGAGAGGCTGGCTGCTTGCGACCGGTGGTCTGGAGAGGAACCCCCACCCTGACCCAGAGGGTCGCGACAGTCCGCGGGAACGGTGGGCCCCGAGGAGCGCACCAGGCCCGGCCTCCCTGGAGTCCGCCGAAGACCCGGCTGGGAGCCGAAAAGAAGGGAGCCGACGTCCCCAGACCACCCGCGCGCTCCCCTGCCTCAAGGAGCGCGACCCCAACTCCGGGTCCTCGGAGAACGGCAAGCGCGGGGACCGAACCCCCGTACGGGCCGGAGCGCATCATCACTGGCTCCCGCCTCCCTCCCCGGCGACCATGGCCGGCCGCTCCCTCCCCAGCATGACGGTTGCGGACGGGGCGTCTCTGCCCCGGCGTCTCCGCTGCCCCGCGCGGACGGGGGCAGTGCCGGGAAGACCGGCCGAGCCCCTCCCCCCACGGCCCCCATTCCCCCGGACTCCGGAAAAGCGGTTACCTGGCGCGTGGGTGAGGGCGAGAACACGACCCCGAGGAGAAGGATGAGAAAGAAGACGGTGCTCTTCGGCCTAGGGAGATTTGGGAAATTTAGGAGACTTGTTCCGCACTGGGTGACAGCTGTTCGCTGCGCACGCGCACGGGCCGAAGACGCCCGGTCACTCCGCCGCTCCTCACCCTCCCGTCGAGGGGGTGGGTGGGAGGCAGCGGCGAAGGCGCGCGCACAGCGCAGGCCGGCTCTGCCTGCGCGAGTGCGCGCGCGCCCTCACGTGACCGTTGGGACCCGGCACTCGGTGAGTCACGTGAACTTGCAAACGGCTTAAAGGTGCCTGGCACCTTCTTGCTACGGGCTCAGTCTTTCGCGCTGTGCTTAGCGGAGGTTCGCTGTCACACATCTTTTTCTCTGCAGCCGGGCATGTCCCTTTCTCCCCAGACAGGGAAGATGCTTGAGCAGAAGGAAGGAACAGGTGCACAGAACCTTGCCCGGAAGCACCCACCGGGTTCCCGCAGGGGTGGACCTGATGTAGTCCACGCGCCACACGTCGTCCTGGGCTCCGACGCGGGCCTATGGCGGTCTCCGGCACGCGGACGTCAGAGCGGCGTTGCCATGGGTGGGGCCTCGGATCGCCCAGCCGAGCCTGGCGAAGAAGTCGAGGCTTGCTGCTGGTCGGCGATGACAGCGTCCTGTGCCCGGTCTCCCTTCACTCGGTGGCCGGGGCCTCTGAGCCTCTCCCACAATAGGAGATAACTGGTGGGCGAAGAGGGTCCACGTGCCAACCCTTTACAAGTAACTCTGGAGAGGGAAGCCCTGTTAGCCTCCGGAAGCGAAAGTGTCGCGTATGCGAGTCACCTACGCGGAGCACATCCCGCCCCGCGCAGGTGTGCGCTTAAGATGGGGGGACCCGAAGGTGGCCCCAGTAGGAATCGGGCTGGGTGTCCCTCAGGAGCTAGAGCTGACAGCAGTTTGGCCTGAATTAGAGTAACTTAAGTGCAGGTGCCTTCGAGCCCCCTGATAATTTAAATAAGTTAGCTTGCTACAACTTTTTTGCTTCTGCTCTGTAACTCCGCCTTCCAAGACATCAGAAGGAACCACACAAACCTTGTACTGCCAAAGACAGATGGCTGAGCATCAGATGTTTTGTTAAAACGAACTTTTTTTTTTTTTAACTTCCTGTAGAGTTCCCAGCTGGGTCTCTTGAGGCGTTTCACCTAACGTTTTACCAGCTAAGAAAGATTGGGCAGATCTTTACACCAGTGAGCAAACCGTGGCTGACTAATATGTTGTTTTCTGTTCCAATACACTGATTTCAGCTTTTTTAAAAATGTAGTATCTGGACAGGTCCACTTACTACACCCTTAAACTCATTTCTCACTGGGAGGAGCATTGTAAGGACAAGTGAAATATTGGTAATTAAGCTAAGGCTAATGGGATTACTGGGCTACAATTTTTTTACGTTGTTAAGGTAAAAACAAAGGTTATTCGGTCACTGTACCTGCCAGCCGCAAAAAAATAAAATAAAAACAAAGCTTAGGTTCTGCTGTGTACATAAACTTCTGAACTTGCATAACATACATACTCAACTGGGGATTTTCCAAATGTGTACGCCATGAGGATCCGAACTCTCCTTGCAAGTCAATTGGATATGCTAAAATAATATGTACTGTAACTTAACATTTATTTAGGGCTTACTGTGAGCTAGACACTGTCTTAAGAGCTTTATGTATATTAACTAATTATTTACAATTAATCAGCGAATAGGTACTATTATTATCTCCTTGTTACAAATATGAAAACTGAAGCATAGAGATTAAGAAATATGACTGCAGTCAAACACCTAGTAAAAGCTAAGGTCCTTACGAAGCCACATGCTGTCTTAGACTAGGAACCTGATGCACCAGAATAAAAAGTCTGGGAACCCGGACTCCATTCCCTTCACAATTTGCAGATGTATAATGTTGCACAAATAATATTCGTTTGTGAAACACAGTAAATTAGAACCTCAGTTTTTTGTTTTTTTGTTTTTTTCTTCCAAATAGAACCTCAGTTTTTTAACCTGAAGAACTAGAGTGATATACAACCATACTAACTTAAGCGAGCATTTTTGCAAATGAAGGAACAATGTAAATGTCAAAATATATCAAAAGCTGTAGGCCGGCCCGAGGCTCACCCGGTAGACTGAGGTGCTGATAACACCAAGGCCGCGGGTTCGGATCCTATCTAGGGATGGCCGGTTTGCTCACTGGCTGAGCGTGGTGCTGACAACACCAAGCCAAGGGTTGAGATCCCCTTACCGGTCATCTTTTAAAAAAAAAAAAAAGAAAGAAAAATTTCCTGTCTGGAAAGGGCATCCTGATTTTTTTTTTTAATGACCCCCACGTGAATCCCACGTGACTCTGCGAATACTTCCTAAATGTCAAAATATATCAAAAGCTGTAGGCCGGCCCGAGGCTCACCCGGTAGACTGAGGTGCTGATAACACCAAGGCCGCGGGTTCGGATCCTATCTAGGGATGGCCGGTTTGCTCACTGGCTGAGCGTGGTGCTGACAACACCAAGCCAAGGGTTGAGATCCCCTTACCGGTCATCTTTAAAATATATATATATATATATATATATATATATATATCAAAAGCTGTAAAGCACTGTGTGAATCTAAGTGCTTTATAGTCTTGAAAATTGAAGTAAGCCTACAAGAAAATTAACTGTGCTGGCAGGTTAGCTCAGTTGGTTAGAGCATGGTGCTGATAACGCCAAAGTCCAGAGTTCAGGTCCCCCTGTACCCACCAGTCGGTTAAAGAAAAAAGAAAATCACCTGGCTTCGTGGCCCAGAGGACAGTGTTTTGTCCCTAATGTATCAAAATACCTACTTATTGTAAATTCCAATGAAAATTAATATTTCATCTATATCATATATTAATTTATCTAGATCCAATAAAAAACCACAGTTAAGGCTGTCTGGTTTGTTCATTTGGTTAGAGCACAGTGTGATAACACCAAGGTCAAGCATTCAGATCACTGTACCAGCCAGCTGCCAAAAAAAAAGAAAAACAAAAACCAAAATCTCAACTGAAAAAAAACAAAAACTAATTGCAGGAAACAGAAGGCTGTGTAATAGGATACGTAGATTCCCCTTAAAGCTTATATGTAATGTGAACTACTTTCCTGATCACCTCAGACAATACTTGTATGTAAATGTCTTGAAAATATGCACAATGCAGCAAATTGATACACACTAAATAATATAGTCTAATTTTGAATATATTAAAGTCTATTATGCTTTTGCAAATATAAAGAATTGCATAATAGTAAAATTCATTCATGTTTTTATTTATCTTTATCACATATGTATGTTATTTATACAGGCATAAAACAGATCAATAACTAGATGTTTACGTGATGTTATTAGATCACAAGTGGGTATTATAGTGAGTACTTAATAAAATTAGAAACCTTAAAACAATAAAATGAAAAAAAAACCAAAACTTGGTGCCTTTTTTCCTCTGTGTCCTGTGTTGAAAGTCAAGTCAATTTATCTCTCACCTGAATTATTGTAATAGTCTCCTAATGATTTGCCTCCCTCCAATGCATCTCTACCCACCCCCTCTAACTTATCTTCTGTATTGCAAGCCAAAATTATCCTCCTAGGGGCCGGCCCGTGGCTCACTCGATAGAGTGCGGTGCTAATAACACCAAGGCCCTGGGTTCGGATCCCACATACGGATGGCCGGTTCGCTCACTGGCTGAGCGTGGTGCTGACAACACCAAGTCAAGGGTTAAGATCCCCTTACCGGTCATCTTTT